ATTTCCCCAAATACTGTAATTGCTAAAATACGCCACAGTGTGACCTTAAACTCAATTTTTCAATTTTGCCTGCCTATCAAAAAGATGAAAATAGAAGGTTAGTCCTGGCTTAGCTTTCCTTTTATTTGGAAAATGGAATCATTTGATAGAACTCTATTGTGTGGGGAAATTTATCATTGTGGATTACCAAAGCATTATGGAAAAAAAACTGAAAGACATGATTAAGTATATTCAGTTTGCATTGCCTTGAAAGAAAATTCAAATACATTAAATGGACTTGTTTTTTTTTAAATAACAAGTACTAGTTAGAGCTAATTTATTCCCCCCAAACTTTTCCTATCAGTGGTCTTCATATTCCTTTGTAAGAAGCTAATTGCAAAAGTCAGATTCCAGTTCATGAGTGGTTTTGATCATTTTAAAAGAAAGAAATATCTTCTACAGCAGAAGAATGTTTGTCTGGAATGGATGCCACTACATTTGTCCTGGATTGATATTTCTGAGATGACTTCACTCAAAAGAGCACAATGATTAAAAAAATAAACAAGTTTTGGTGTCAACACCATCTGCTCTAATGGCCTGAGAGCCTTTAAAGCTCCTACATGCCCAGCATGGCAATCATACCAACTGCCTGCACATGTGTATGGATTGGGCTGCGATCCCATTACAGTGGACACCATGTTGTTCTTCCATTGCTGTGTGTGTGTGTGTGTGTGTGTGTGTGTGTGTGTGTGTGTTTAATTCAGGTCATAGGACTTCTGAAAGCCATTCTCTAATGTGTGTTCTTGACATGTTTCATAGCAGGGATAAAAAATATTCTGTATTTGTTGATCCTCTGCCTACAGATTTTAAAGTAACACTTGTAAAAATAAAATGAAAAATAAATAAAGTAACACTTGTTAGAAGCAATAAAATTAATTCCTGGAGGCCAAATCTATCTATCTATCTATCTATCTATCTATCTATCTATCTATCTATCTATCTATCAACTATTTGACAAGCTAGCACGGAAGTATGAAATTTCAGTGTGGTAATAAAATTCACTTCTTCTAATTATGTCATCTTAAAGATAAAATGAAATGAGGGCCAGAAAGGTTGACAGTGACTTTAGACTGAAGGCAGAGATCTCCTAATTTCTTCTTTGATATGTCTTTCACTATTTATCTAGAGAAGGCTTGCTATATATGGCACATATATTATGGCAGTCAAAAGGATTTTCATGCTAAACAGATATCACTTATAAACTCTTTTTTAATATATCAAAACCGAGCATTTTCATCATCTTCATTTTATCCCTATAAAATGATCCCTCTCTCTCTCTTTGGCATGACTTTCATACTGAAATTGAGGAACTAGTAACTCCAGGGGAGAAATTGAAATTTCATTTTATGATTTCTTGTCTTCTCTGAAAGGTTCAATACCAGCTTCAGAATCTGATATCAATACCATGCATTTTTAAGTGATTTCCTAACTCCACTGATGCAATATCATAAAGGATTTTATAGAAAAAGTACAGTTTCATTTAAAGTGAGATCCATGATGTTTTGAAATATACTTGAACAGCATGTGATTTTGAGTTATAAAAGATATAGAATATAATCTTTGTTACCATAACAGTTATGTTTATGCTTTAAGCCCATCTCTAATAAACATTTAGATCAGCAAAACTATTGTCAATATAATTTTTCATCCTATTAGACTAGATTTAAACCTTACTTTATTACTTCCACATTTGCTTCTCTGTGATCCTCAATGGGACATTTGATTTAGATATTTCTATTTTCCCAAAACAATTAAACCCTTAAGAAACATTCTATATCCTTGCTATCACCATTTAGAATGGTTGCCATGAATTCATTGACTCTTAGGAATTTCATTGATTATGAATGGTCGACTTAGGTCATTCATATTTTAATAACCCTTCTTTCCTCAGCGCAAATTTGTTCAATTGATGTAGACTTCAGATGCCATAGTATAGAGGAGACTCCTGAGTAGGTGATTTGAAGAGGAGCGGTGGCCATTCTAAGCCAGATAATATGCTCCCACTGTGATATTTTCCTATTTAGAGGCAAAATCTTTCATTCTACAGCCAATCACAATGACACTGTCTCATCAATTTAGTCCAGTGTGTAAGCAATGAACTACAGTGGGGTTATGGAGACTTTGATGGGGTGAAGGCTAAGGCTGAGGCGGAAGGCACATGAGGTTAGGGCTCATCACACACGTGGCAAAAGTGCACATTGTGTGTGTTCTTCCCAGCTGTGCTTGGGGCTGGCGATGCATGGGGGTGATACACAAATGTATAAGACTCATTTTTGAGAATGTTCATGAGGCTGCACGAATGCACAGGAAATAGAGATATAGGACGGCATAGGCTACTTTCCTCCCTCATGATTGTATCAGAACACAGAAATAGTGAAGAGATAGAAATAAGGCATAACTTTATGGAGGAAAGCATAGAGATTAAAAACCAAGCGAAGAAAACAGTGCAATAGAAAATAGAAAGTGAATTTGGAGCATCCTGGTGAAAGACTTTCAGAGATTTCTTCTTCTAGGCCAAGAGCAGCTACACTTTTTTTTTCAAAATATGTCAATGCATCCACAGTTCATCTGACTTCTTTTGTTATTAATTGGACCAGATCTTAACTCTAAAAATCTCTTATTTGTAACTGCTAACCGTCTTCATGAATTCGTTTCATTCTACCACCAGCTTTGTTTTAAATGTTGACATGTGAGTGAACCTGAGATAGAAACTAATCGCTGCTCTGAAGCCTATATTCCAGCCACAGAACTTGGGAACGTTCTGCCCTCAATCACAGCTCTCCCTTTACACAGGCTCTTGCTTCATTTGACGCCTAGGGACCGGGACTGCAGCTGGCTGTCTGTGTGTGGTGGCGGTGTTCTGGGTAGTTGGGGACTGCCTGGCATCTTTGCTTACTGAATATTTTCGTCTAACATTCACAGCTATTTTAAACTTTTCAAAGTGAAGCTTTCTTTCCCCCTTTCAATATAACTGTTTTCACTGTTATTGTTAAAGTGTCAACTAGTCTCTTAAAAATGGCAGCATGTTCTGTACTTTGTCCAATATCCTTGTAGCAGATCTGTCCTAGGAATGAGACCTCTTGTCTCCAAGAATTTCAAAGCCATTGTCTTCTATAAACAGCAGAATTAATCATACTTGAAATGTTAAAATCTGTTTTAGAATTGTTATTTACCTACCCATTTGCAATTAACTCTGTTTGGAAATTTTGTTCTAAATTACATGAGGACGGATAAGAAGGGTAGGAACTTCTGGGAAAACAACACAAAAACCACAAAACCCAACAATCTCTGAAATATAATTGCTAATAAATTAAACTATTAGAAGAGAAACTCTTATATTTAAAGATTTAAATGATCACATTGACATGTCATAGGTATTTATTAACAGTCACAATTTTCTTTTCCTTTAAAATGTTGAGCCCAAAGGCAGAGTATTAATGGCGATAGGGATTTATTGTTTAGACCCTGTTACATAGTAAGTGATCAATAAATGTATGTTGAGTTGAGTATAGCATTAAATGAAAAATTTGGACTCACTGATCCCTAATATCTCATTCCACTTTGACCTATGATTTTATGATCTATTCCAAGAAGAACCAGGTTAATAGATGGTGAAAAGCTTCCTATATGTAGATTGTCCAATTCTTCCAACTCAAAAGATAAATATCTGCCCACAAACCTTATGGACTCTTGATAAAACAGGCTAGTCTTCACTGAAGAATAGTTTCCATATTGTATGATTTCTATTAATATCAGGTGCCAAAGACAAGATAGTATAGATTTTCATCCATTAGCATCATATTCATTTTACTTAAAGAAAATATAATTCTAAAAAAAAAGAAAACATAATTCTACTTCCTTTACAAATTTTCATGCATTTTTGGGATGCCTGGGTGGCTCAGTCAGTTGAGTATCCAACTCTTGATCTCAGCTCATGTCTTGACCCTCAGGGTTGTGAGTTTGGGCCTGCATTGGGTGTCATGTTTGGCATGGAGCCTACTTATAATTTTTAAAAATCATGCATTTTTCAGCAATTATAGAAATCCACAGGGTTCTGCATCTGTGATAATGAGTATCTGAATATTGATTAGGAATTAATAAAAGCTCATGCTTTTTCTTTCTCGCTTTTCTTTCTTTTCCTACTTGTTTACACATGTGGACTAAAAAATAACAATAGCTCGCTTTTATATAGCATTTTAAGATATATTATGTACTTCCTGATAAATGTGGATAGATTATGTATTATCTTATTTAAAAATGAAGAAACTAAACCTCAGAGAGGTTGACATTTGACCAGCTCTATATTCTATAGATAGCAGGATCAGGATTTGGACTCATTTATTTGATTGAATACATAGGCCATTTTTTACTGTACCATACCACTACTCATCGCAATTCATTACAGGCTCTCTGACCATGTGTAAAGAAATTTAATATCTTTCCTGACCTCTTTTGTGTATACTACATTATCCATAGGGAATGTGAACTCCAGAGAGGTTATTGGTTTTAGGCTAAGAGTCTCTAGGCTGAGCATGTAGTGTGTAGAAAAAACAAAGGTAATAAAAATTATGGGGTTCTCCACAAGATAACACGTTTCAGCAGCAAATTGTTTTCAATTTCCTATGTCTCTTCTCCGCATGAATTAATTACCAAATCCATCAAATACTCCACTTAGGCCCTGGCAGACCAATACAATCACATACACCTGGATTTTGATGGATTCAAGTTTATAGCCCTATGAACCCGTTTATCTTATTGGGAGTAGTTGATTTTCTTTACCCCTCATGATCAATCAATGTAAATCAAGTATTTAAGAACTTGAGAAAAATGTGCCTTTGCTTTAGTATTTAATATGGTGTTAATTAAGATCCTGGCTCATTTGTGATATTCACTGTTGAAATGAAAACTAATTCTGACTTCATTGTCTATTTTTTCATATTTTTTACACTCTCATTGTGAAGGTCATGGACAGTGTAACTGTGGAAGATGTGACTGCAAAGTAGGCTGGTATGGGAAAAAGTGTGAGCACCCACGTTCCTGCCCACTGTCAGCAGAGGAGAGTATCAGGAAGTGCCAAGGAAGCTCTGATCTGCCTTGCTCTGGAAGGGGTAAGTGAAGGTTCTCAGGATTTGTCACCACCTCCTGATCCTATGAATCAAATACATTCAGCTTACATATATCTTATTTAACAGATAGTTGAGATCCCTCAATAAGGAAAGATTAGTCTTTTCAGAACTAATAGTACATCCAGTTTCCATTACTGAAAGTACACGGAGAAATATAATCTCTTTCTTCCTCTCTGTCACATGCATGCACACACACACTCTCTCTCTTACACCTTCAGTTTATCTTTGAGGTCAGTTCAGTTTCAGTTTAGTTCAGGTCATTTCAATGCTACATTAAAAAAACTGAACAATGAAACATTTGAAGAAAACAAATGAAACAAAAAGGTAACCTACTGAATGGGAGAAGATATTTGCAAATGATATATCTAGAGGGGGTTAGTATTCAAAATATATAAAGAACTTATATGTCTCAATGCCAAAAAAACAACCCCACAAGCAAATAGTTTGGTTAAAAAATGTGTAGAGTATCTGAATAGACATTTTTTTCAAAGAAGATAAACAAATGGCCAACAGACATATGAAAAGATGCTCGACATCACTAATCATCCGGGAAATACAAATCAAAACCACAGTGTTTTACACCTAGCATAACAAAATAAAAAAAGACAAGAAATAGCAAATGTAGGCAAGGAACCTTTGTGTACTATTGATGAGAATGCAGATTGGTATCACCACTGTAGAAAACAGAAATGCAATTAAAAAATTAAAAATGGAATTATCATATGATCCTATTTACCCAAAGAATATGAAAACATTAATTTGAAAAGATGTAAGCCTATCGTTATTGCAGCATTATTTGTAATAGCCAAGATATGAAAGCAACCTAAGCATTCATCAGTAGATGAATGAATAAAAAAGATGTGTCGTACGTACACAATGGAATGTTACTCAGCCATAAAAAAGAATGAGATCTTGCCATTTGCAACAACATGAATGCATCTAGAGGGTATAGTGCTAAATAAGTCAGACAGAGAAAGACAAATACCATGTGATTTTACTTATCTGTGGAATTTAAGAAACAAAAACAAATGACAAATAAAAAAAAGAGAGACAAAGAATAAAACAGACTCTTACTGAGGACAAACTGGTGGTTGCCAAAGGGCAGGTGGTGGAGGGATGAGTGAATAGATAAATGAGATTAAGAGTATACTTTGTAAAGAAAAAGAATAGATATTTGCTTAAAACATTCTGAATGAGGGGCACCTGAGTGGCTCAGTGGTTGATTATCTGCCTTTGGCTCAGGTCGTGATCCTAGAGTCCTGGGATCAAGTCCCACATCAGGCTCCCCACAGGGAGCCTGCTTCTCCCTCTGCCTGTGTCTCTGCCTCTCTCTGTGTCTCTCATGAATAAATAATAAAATCTTTAAAAAAAAAACTTTCTAAATGAGACCTTTTTTTAAAAAAATTTATTCATGACACACACACACACACACACACACACACACACACACACACACAGAGGCAGAGACACAGGCAGAGGGAGAAGCAGGCTCCATGCAGGGAGCCTGACATGGGACTTGATCCCAGGTCTCCAGGATCAGGCCCTGGACTGAAGGTGGCGCTAAACCGTTGAGCCACCTGGGCTGCCCTGAATGAGACCATTTACTTGTCTACTGACATTTCTGAAATTCATTAACATTGCATTGGGGAGATTGTTGGCTTTTGAAAAAGCATTGCGCAAACAGATAGCTTTGGATAAGCCTATGTTGTTTTAGAAGGCATGTAGCCTCGGGTGTGCTCTTGCTTCCAGATCAGTACAAGTTGGAAGAGAAGGAAGAATTCATCTAGAGGAAAGCTGGTTCCATTATTTTTGATTTATCAAAATAAGAAATGCATTTTTACCTCCCACATGGAAATGGCAAAGTTAATATGAAATATGCCTTTGGAGGAACTGGTAATTGAAATTATTACACATTTTGCCCATGAAAGAGGAAAAAGAGAAAGACTTCCTTTTACCTGAATGTTAGATCAGAAATTTATGTTGCAGTTTTCTCTTTGAAAAATGTATCTTTTATTGAGATATAATTCAGATACCATAAAATTCACTCTTTTAAAGTATATAACTTAGTGGTTTTTAATATATTTATAGAATTATGCAACCATCACCACTATCTCATCACAGAACATTTTCATCACCACTAAAAGAAATCCTGTGTGCCTTACCAGTTACTCCCCATTTCCCTCTCCTGTCAACCCCTAGAAACCACTGATCTACTTCCTGTCCCTGTGGATTGCCTAATCTGGATATTTTATATAAATGGAATAATAAAATATGTGACCTTTTTGTTTCTGGCTTTTTTTTCACTTAGCATATGTTGTCAAGATTTATCCATGTACTTCATTCCTTATGACAGCTAGCTAATACTCATCTGTATAGATATACCACATATATTTATCCATTCATCTGTTAGTGGACATTTGGACACTCTGCTTTTTGACCATCATGAATAATGTTCTATGAACATTCATGTATAAACTTTTGTGTGGGTATGTGTTTTAATTTCCCTTGGGGATATATGTGGAATTGCTGAGTCGTATGTAAGTCTGTTTAACTTTTTGAAGTAGAGCTGAACTGCCTTTTTTTTTTAAGTTTTTATTCATTCATTCATGAGAGACTCAGAGAGAGAGGCAGAGACATAGGCAGAGGGAGAAGCAGGCTCCATGCAGGAGCCCAATATGGGACTTGATCCCAGGACTCCAGGATCACGCCCTGGGCCGAAGGCAGGCACTCAACCGCTGAGCCACCCAGGCATCCTTGAACTGCCTTTAAAGTGGAGATACCATCTTACATTCCCACCAGCAGTGCATAATAAGGGTTCCAGTTTCCTTACATCCAAATAACAGTATTTGTTGTCATTTGTCTTTTTGACTACTTAGAGTTTTCTTTATGTAGAAAACAAAGTCCCCAAGATTATTTGTACCATGGCTATTTTCCCATACTCTGATATGTATCCCTACTTATTATAAGTAGAAGGGTAGGAATTGGGTAGAAGGAAATTTTCATTTCATAAATTTTATTTCTGACTTGAGCCCTTTTCACCAACAACCCCAAACAAGAACTACTGTACTACCTCCGTTAATAAAATATCGGCAGAGGGCTTGAGTAAGCCTGTCATGCTTTTAAAGGAACAAAGTTTAAAAATTAGTGTCCTTCAGACTACTGTTATTCATTCATTCATTCATTGTTTAAAAATAACAAATTATATGATGGAAAAATAAGAAAAGCATATAAGGTATCTCTGAAACATAGAAAATCACTATATATTACCAGTTGTTTTTCATTTGTCCCTAAGTTTTTAAATATGGTGTTAGTGTAAGAAAATTATGGTGGATTTTAATTATTGTGGATATTAGTCTTTGTTGACTCTGACAAACACATATTTGTCTCTTATCTTTCTAGGGATGCTCTAATGTTTTAGTCACCATTTTTATTTATTTTTATTTTTTTATTTTATTTTATTCTTTATTTATGATAGTCACACAGAGAGAGAATGAGAGAGAGAGAGAGAGAGAGAGAGAGAGAGGCAGAGACACAGGCAGAGGGAGAAGCAGGCTCCATGCACGGGAGCCTGATGTGGGATTCGATCCCGGGTCTCCAGGATCGCACCCTGGGCCAAAGGCAGGCGCCAAACCGCTGTGCCACCCAGGGATCCCTTAGTCACCATTTTTAAACAATAACACATATTTAAAGTTTATTTTGTTAAAAAGATGTTGAATATATGTATAGAGTTACAAGACTTTTTATAATTTTATAATTCATTTAAGCTTTTTAAAATACTTTAGAGAGAAATAATAAGCTTCTCCAGTTTCCTCACAGGGAAATGGAGGTATTGATGAGTAGAGTGATATCCCGGGGAACCATAACAAAATATGAGAATTTTGAGAATGAAGACCAAGGATTTATGAGAGATATTCCAGTGCTCGGACCAGTGGCCAGAGACCCTTCCTTTCTCACAGAGCTACCTCTGCAAACTCATTGGCATTGGGTGTTTTAAAGCAAATGGCCAATATGAAAACTTATAAAGGATTAGCTTTGCCATTTATGAATGACAGCTGCAGCTGTGCTTACATGAGTGAGGAAAGCAATTACAAGGCCCATCGGTTCTCAAGTCGTAGATCCTCAGCTGTTCGCTAGCTGGGGCCAAGAAAAAAATTCTCCTGGTAGAATGTATTGAAGTTCCTCGGTGCAGCCCACCTCAGGGGCCAGATGAAGGCATTTGTGCACTGGAAATTAAATTAGATTACTTGCTTCTGCTGGTGATGACTAAATGTGATCATTATGTCTTAAAAGCAGGGGAATAATTTAGGTAATCTCTTAAACTCTTTATTAATCCTGTGGCTCCTTGATTTCTATTCCTTATTGCCTGTAAATATCCTTTTACTTAATTAGGTGACACTCATCAGTCGATATGGGCACACAGTTATTCATCCTAATTTCTGCCCTCCAGGTATTGGCTAGGGGACAACTTTGTCTAGTCTCATATCAACATTCTGCTCAAAACTTGAAGTGGCTTATGATAGGCTACACATTAGCTTTAAATTCTTTTTGGCTTAAGAATATATTTTTTTTTATTGAGCTTCTCCTTCTGAGTGTGTGTCTGGCTTTGGAAAAAAATGTGAAGCAAAATTGGTGTACATCACTTTGAAGCAGAAGCTTAAGAGGCAGTGAGAGCTTTGCCATCTTTCTTGTCCCCAAATGGGGGTTTGCAGTATATGAGATGGTGGCTGATCCATTAGCCTGGGTGTCTGAATGAGGATGATTGGAGAAACCTCTGCTGACCCACCAAGGACCTGTAACACTAGTGAAAACTAAAATTTTGTTTTTTAAGCAGCTGAGATATTAGAGTTGTTATTGTAGCAGAACCCCTGATTCAGACTCTTCTCCACGTACAAAATTTAGGGAATGCAGTTAAAGCAAACCAAAAAGCAAACACACATACACACACAAAACCATACTTAAACCCAAAGAGAGAAGGAAAAAAA